TTTTTACAGGACTCATCATCTCCAAGTCAAGTTTTTGTCCTCCAATCTTAGTTGTGGAGGGCACAGGTCAGCTCCAAGTCCAGTTGCATCATTCAATCTAGTTGCTGAGGTGAGGGGGGTGGCGCAGCCCACCATTCCATGAGGGAGTCAAACCAGCTACCTTGTTGTTATGAACACACACTCTCACCAGCTCAGGGGCAGTTCAGCTTGAGCACAGCTCACTGGCCCATGTGGGATTTAAACTGGCGACCTTGTTGCTCAGAGCTCACTCTCTTAACCAATTGCACCACTGGGCCGGCCACCTTTGGGCTGTTTTTTGGATGTCAATCCCCCCGGCCCTCACCCTGATCTGCCTGTGGAGCCCAGAGCTCTCTACATTGCCCTAGTCCATTGGTGACTGCATTTGGTTCCCCACCCCCATTAGACAGTGACCCTGTTAGGGCTCTCTCAGTAGTGCCCATCAGACTGCTCACAAGTGATGCCCAGAAACACATCCTTGACCCCAGTTGTTGGGCTCCTGGGCATGGCCAGACAGGAGCAGGAGACCTGTCTGGGTCTCGTCTGAAGGGCTGAGAACCTCCCCATATTCACCCCCTTCTGGGGCACAAAAGGCCACAATTGATCCTGTGTGACCGGGCTGGTGGTGGCCAGGAGAGGAGATTCCGACACTCTCCCAGAATGGTAGGAGGGAGGAGGACTTTCAGCATCTCACATGGTGTGTGTGTGTGTGTGTGTGTGTGTGTGTGTGTGTGTAATGCCTATGTGACCCTGAGCCTCAAGGTCCTGTTGCAGCCATGTTGGTGTCTGCTGTAGAGAGACCCTAGATGGAGAAGAACCTGGGTCTTAACAGAGATGACGTTTGCTGCACAGGAGTTGATAGGTGGTGTCATGCAGACTTTGTCCTTCATCCAGCAGTGGGAGAGCCCGGGGACTGAGGCCTGGGTGGGGGAGAGGGGCACCCCTGCTTTGATGCTGGAAGGAGGAAACTTACGCCAAATAATCAAGATTGGAGTTCACCCTAATTGTCTCTTGTCTGCAGGGGAACCAGGGACCAGGTCAGGAGTGGTTCTGGGGGCCGTCACCGGAGCTGGTGTCACTGCACTGCTTGCTCTCTGCCTCTTCCTCATCTACCTCATGTGAGCTGGGTCAAGTGTGGGCCAGGGGTGGAGAAGAGGGACCTGGAGGAGGTGGGCATGCCCAGAGCCAGTCTGGGGCTGCAGTGGTGGTGACAGTCAAGCCAGTAGCCACTGAGCCAGACTTATATGTTCCCAGCCCTGGTTCCAGATGTTCAGAAACTGGTGTGTATGTGGGGGGAGGTGGGCGATATTGTTACAAAGTCTTTTTACAAAGCTGCCGGGGCTTGCCCCACTTTTGAGCTGCCCTAGTCACTCACTCCAGCTTCAAAGAGCAACCCTGTGTATAAGGTCCTGGTGTCTCCCGTCAGAGTGAAGACCCGCAGGAAGAAAGCAGCCAAGACAGCCATGGGTGTGGACGACATCCATCCTCCCGTCGGGCCACCTCCCATGGTGAGTGACACGGGCATCCTGGCATGCAGATTGCCCCCCACGATTCTTGGGTGGCCCACAGTCTCGCTCCATTCAGTGTGTCCACAAATGAGATCTTCACTGTCCCATTAAAAAATGTAGGTTGTATTATTATTCAGGTCTTTCAGCCCAACAGATTGGGAGATGGTTGCCACAGTTAGTTCCTCACAGTTCCCAAGAGAAAGGGGAAACGCCACGCCACTCAAGGCCACGTTGGGCAGCACCCGGGTTGGTCAGGAGGCTGAGGGGGTGAGGAGAAAACGTGGGCAGGAGCCTTGATGCTGGTTTCCATGAGGAAGGCAAGGCAAGGCTGGGGAAGCAGGCTTAGGGCTGGTGAGTTTGAATAACTCCGTGGGCTCTGGGGTGTGTAGGCTGTCTCTCCTTGTCTGGGACCTGGTCCTGGCGTGACTAGGGCAGGAGGAGAACGGTCTGGAGTGTAAGAGCTCCATGAAGGAGGTGGTTGGGGTGTGCGCTCTGACTGATCACTTTGCATACGAACGGCATGCTCACAGCAAGTCCTTACCACCTCCAGCAATTGCCTGTTCCTGGCAGGCGTGTCCCCCTAGGGTTAGCCCCAGATGTCAGAACACCAGAAGCACTTGGTTAGTACATACTTTTTCTGAGTTCTCCATCTCACTGATGGCACCCTTGTCCCTGACACCCAGCAGAGACCTGACCATGCATCACCCCTTCCTGCACCAATACGCTAAGTGTTTCTGAGCTTCTTCTAAACACAGCTCAATAGAACCATTACCTCTGAGTTGAGCTCTCCCTGCTACGTGCTTATCCTGCTGCAGCCCTCCCATCTCTCCTCCCTGGCCTGCTAGCATTACTTCCACTAAAGATCACCATCTCACCCAAGTCTGAAATGCTTCTCTACGCATACAAAAGATGAGGACCCAGACAATGTGGTCTGGCATTTGGGGCAGGAAAGCCAGAGTCACCCCCACTGTGTCACACCCCCCACACTGGCCTGCTCACTTGTCTTGAGCAGATAAGCTTTTTGCATCTTAAGCTTTTTACATCTCAGAATCATTGCTAGGCCATCCCCTTCTCCTCACATGCATACGTCAGCCTGCCCCATTGCTGCCCTTCCTCTGAGCTCTGACTTTTCATTCATTCATTTAACTCTAACTAATGTGGACACCACTGTGAGGTTTCTGAGTAGACAGTCAGCAATTATGCATTTAGTTTTCCTTCAGGAAATATCTCTCACTTGTCGATTGTTCTGTGCTTGGGAGTGCTTGGGTAATATCTGTAGTTTCAAAAATTCTTATGTGACAAATGTAAAATATCCCTCCTGGAAATGCTCTCCTTTCCTTGCAGATGGCCTCCTTCTCGCTGTGTCCTCACATGGCCTTGTCCCTGTGCCCACGCATTTCTAGTGTCTCTTCTTCATATAAGGACTTACGTCATTTTGGGTCCTACTCTAATGACCTCACTTACTTCATTACCTCTTTAAAGGCCCCATCTCTAAATACAGTCCCATTGGGGGTTAGAGCTCCAACATATGAATTGGGGGGCACAATTCAGTCCACAAGACAGACTTATTTCAGGGTAATAATGATGATTCTGGTGTGAAACAGTTGGGATCAGGATACATTTTGAAGGTGGAGCCAACAGGACTTGCCAGTGGAGTGACAAGGTACACCTGGAGTATGAGCAAAGAGCTCACTGCCTTTACCTCATACATGTCATCTTTGTTAAAGATGACTCCACGGATGTCACAGATGTCCAGAGATTATCATAAATGTCCAGAAATTGTCATAGATGTCCATTAATGTCAATAGATACCAAAGATGACTCTGATGTGTTTGCCCAGCGAAACTTAAAGAGTCAAATTGTCAATTCCTGAACTTGCCAGCTCTGCAGGAGGAGTATAATTTTAAAAGGGAATCAAACTTTACTTTGGTTACTACAACTTTGAGGTCCTTCTGAGATGTCCAAGTGAAGATGACAAGTAGATGGCCAGAGTCTGGCACTTGGGAGAGGGGTCCAGGTGGGAGACACAGAGATGTGGGGGTATTTCACATCAAGGTCTGAGAGTGGATGAAACCCAAAGAAGAGAAGGGGTTTGCAAACAGAGCCCTGGGACACCCCACCATTTAGAGTCAAGGAAATAATGTGGAAACAGCAAGACCACTGGAGTAAAATAAATGACCTTGAGAGTGTAGGGTTGAGTCCTGGTGGCCAAGGGGTCATGCAATTTCAGGGAGGACAGAGTGCTCATTTACATGAAGTGTTAATAAGTGCACTAAGGTCTTATGAAGGATCTGAAATATGACCACTTTAATTTAGCTAAGTGACATCACAGCTGATCTCAACAAAAGCAGATCTAGTAGCCTGGTGAAGGGAAATGTCTTTATTGGAGTGAATTCAAGAAAGAATGAAAGAAGAGAACATGTAAAGGCTCTTTTTGAGAAGTGTTGCCATAAATTTAGAGCTGAGAAATGAGTCTGCCCCTGAAAATATTTGTACCCCTCAATCTCTTGAATTTCCTTCGTGGTAGGATGTACTTTGTTCTAATGAGATGGCTAATGGTGGATTCCTGGATGGGAGCTGGGCACCAGGAAGACCAAGCCAAAATTCCACATATCTTGTGTCAGAAGTATTGTGAGTGTGCCAGTAATATAAGAGTAAAGGAGACATACACAGGAAGAGTAGTTTTTCATAAACATCTTCCTGTGTATCCAGTACCTGGCATATAGGAAACCTTTGAGAGGCCAGGGGTTGAGTTCATGATCACTAGATATGTGACCTTGAGAAGTACCTAAAGTCTCTGAGACTTAGTTCTTTCTTAGTAAAAATAACAGTATTTTCCACATAGGTCTGTGTGAGTGTGCAGAAGAATTGGAACGCAGCCAACAAGATTGATATGTGCTGGTTCTTTCCCCCTCAAACAGAAAGGTGTTAGTGACATTTCACTCAGAGGCTGGGTATATGCCCTGGGGCACCACACCATGTCAGCCTCACTCTCTACCCAAATCCGTTCCATGGATCTTTCTTTGAGTTGGACTCCAGCATCATCTGTCTCCACTCTGAAATTGCCCCTTTCCATCCTGCTGGCCTGATACTTGTCCAGCTATGGGCAAAATCACTTATTAAGATTTATAGAACTTCCTAAAACTAAAAGCTAACCATCATCAAAATACTGCTTTATCTTCTCAGCCCCCCTAAATAATCTACAAGCCTTTCAACTTGACATTCTAGGTCCAGACTCAGGAAACTTTTTTGTAAGGGGCCAGATAGCAAATATTCCAGGTGTTGAAAGCTATATGGTCTCTGCTGCAACTCTGTTTGCAGTGCAAATGCAAGCCATAGACAATCTCAAACACTGATGAAGCTGTGTTTCAACAAAATTTTATTTACAATAGCAGGCAGCTCCCATGCTGTAGCTTTCTGACCTCTATTATAGGTTGTTCTTAATCTCACCCAGTCCAGAATGTGGATGTGAAAGATACACAGATACTTTGGGGAAAATGAAGGATTCTGGGAATACAGAATGTTGGGGAGATGGCTTGTGGAGTTTCTATTGTTGTTGTTATTCATTTATTCTGTTAAAAACATAACATAAATTTACTACCTTAAGTGTACAGTCATGCAACATATCTCTCAAAGGTTTTCACCTTGCAAAACAGAAACTGTGTACCCTTTGAACAACAACTACCCCCTTCCCCAATTACCCCAGCCCCTGGCAACCACCATTCTACGTTCTGTTTCTGTGGGTTTGAGTCCTGTATTTTTCTCAAACTAGTGAAATCACCCAGGGTTTGTCTTTCTGTGACTGGATTATTTCATTTAGCATAATGTTGAAAAGGTTCATCCATGTTGTGACATGTGACAGGATTTTCTTCTTTTTAAAGTCTTAATAATATCCCATTGGATGTTTCTACCACATTTTCTTTATCCACTCATCTGTAGATGGATATCTGGGTTGCTTGCATCTCTTGGCTGTTATAAAAATGCTGCAGTGAACGTAAGTGTGCAAATATCTCTTTCAGATCCTGTATCCAATTCTTTTGGATAAATATTTGTAATGGGATTGCTGGATCATATGGTAGTTCTAGTTTTACTTTTATTTTTTGAGGAACCTCCATACTGTCATCCATAGTGGCTGCACCATTTAACATTTCCACCAACAGTGCAAAAGTTTCTAATTTGTCCACATCTTCACCAACACTTATTTTCTGTTTTATTTATTGATTTTTATTTTTTAATACAGAATTCTACCGTATTTTACTTTTTATTTTTCAACTACTGTTGACATTCAATATTATTTTATATTAGTTTCAGGTGTACAGCATCATGGTTAGACATTTATATAATTTATGAAGTGCTCCCATTGATTAGTCTACGGCCCCAAACTGAAACAGACTCATAGACACAGAGAAGAAGCTGATGGTTGCCGATTGGAGGGGGGTTAGAGGGTGGGTGAAAAAGGGGAAGGATTAAGAAGTACAAATTGGTGGATACAAAATAGTCATAGGGATATAAAGTACAGCATAGGGAATATACTCAATAATATACTAATAACTCTGTCTTTTTAAATATTTTGTCTATCCTAATGGATATGAGTTGGTAACACACTGTAGTTCTGATATGCATTTTTCTAATGATTAGTTATGTTGAGCATCTTGGCCTATGGAGAAATATCTAATTCAAATTTTTTGCCCATATTTTCATATTTAAAAAAAATTTTAGTTGTAGGAGCTCTTTATCTATTCTAGATATTAACCTCTATTATATACGATTTGCAAACATCATATATATTTGCAAACCCATTCCATAGGTTGGCTTATGGTTTTTGTTAACGATGTTTGAGCAAAGGCTCGAGAGTCTGTCATTTGATTGTGTGATCAGAGGGCACTCCAGGCAGAGGGAACAGTGGATGCAAATGCTCAGAAACAGGAGGGTGACCAGTAAATGGAGAAGAAACAAGGAAGCCCATGCGATGAGAGAAAGAGGCAAGGGCCAGCAAGCAGGAAATGAGTGCGGGGAAGTCAGCATGTGTGTAGATCATGTCTGCACATGCTGACTACTGTGGACGTTTGGAGGCTTTTGAGCAGAAGGAGGATATGGTTCAACTTTCATTTTCACAGGTTTTCTCTGGCCGCTATGTGCAAAATAGACTGTGTGTCAGGGAAATTAGAGAAGAGGTCAGAAACGGATGGTGGTGGCTGGAACCAGGTTGTCATGGGGGTGGGTCCTAACTGGATTCTGGATAAAGTCTGAAGTTCAGGCTAACAGAAATTGCTAATGGATTGAGAGTGGGTTATGGGTGAGAAAGGGGTCAAGGATGACTCCTAGAGTTTTGCCCTGAGCAGCCAGAAGAATGAAGGCGTCAACCATGAAGGCTGAGAAGATTGTAGGATGAAGAGATATGGGGAGGAAAGGAAGTTCAGTTTAAATATGTTGAGCTTTATGTGTCTTTTGGACAAAGGAATGGGGATTTCAAATATACCGTTGGATCAAAGTCTATATTACCAGAGAGGGGATGGGCTACAGGCACGGACTTGGGAGCTATCAGCCTATAGATGACACAAGCCCATGTTGGGGATAAGATCACAAAGTGAAGTTGCAGGAGGAAAGTGTCTGGTGCTGCTCTGATATTTAGGGATCAGGAAAATGGGGAGCATCCAGGAACGGGGCTGCCAGCGAGGTCAACGGACCTAGGGAAGTTTGATGTCTTGTAATTAAACAGGGGTTTTCATTTAGAGAATGCATGGAACTGAGTCACCTGCTGCAAAGTCCAGAAAGTCAAGGACTAAAAGATGACCATATGGATTCCTCAGAGGTCAATGGTGTTCGCGATAATAGCAGTGTTGGGAAGTGTGTGTGTGTGTGTGTGTCTGTGTGTCTGTGTGTGTGTCTGTGTGTGTGTGTTTAGCTTTGAACACTTGAGAGAAAATAAGAGGAGCAAAAACATTAACAATTCCACTGAAGCGTTCTGCTCTGCTGTCTGGCACCTGTCACTATCCACTGTGTGAGCGTGCATTAGTTTCCTGTTGCTGCTGTAACAAACCACCACAAAGGTAGGATCAACGTTAGTGCTTCCAACAACATAAACTTATGATATCATAGTTGTATAGGTCACAAATCCAAAATAGGTCTCACTGAGCTAAAATCAAGGCATTGGCAGGTGGGGCTGAGTTCCTTCTGGAGGCTCCAGGGAAAATGCGTTTTCTTGCCTTTCTCAGCTTCTAGAGGTCACCTGCATTCCTTGTTTGGTGGTCTCTTTCCTCCATCTTTAAGGCCAGAAGCATAGTACCTGTATTTTCACATCTCCCTCTGCCTCCTTCCTTTGTTTGTAAGACCCTTGTGTTTACATTGGGCCTACAAGATAATCCAGGATCATCTCACTGTCTCTAGATCCTTAACTTAATCACATCTGCAGAGTCCCTTTTGCCATGTCAGGTTAAATATTCAGAGGTTCCAGGGGATTAGGGTGTGGACATTTTTGGGGGCTGTTATTCTGTGTACCGCACAGCATAATTTCTTTCACTGACTTGTCCTCCCACCACACTGAGCTTCCGCAAGACAGGTGCCCTGTCTGAATCAAGGCCCTGGAATTCTCTCTCACTTACCTGGTCCCTGTCCCACTTATCATAATTCACCATTAGACATTTACATGTTTAACTCATTTTTGCTGCCTTCCTTAATTAAAGAGTGAGCTGCAAGAGGTCAGGGCCTGTGTCCGCCATGGCCCCATGGTATATCCAGTACCCAGCTCTGCGCCTCACACACAGGGGGCCTCACACTTAGGAGGACACCAGGCTTTGGGATCAAAACGGAACTGGATTGGATTCTGCTTTCACCAGGGACTGTGAGCGCGCTGCTTATTTGGTTCAACTTCAGTTTCCATATCGATAAAATGGAGACATTCATATTATCTTCCTTATGAGGTTGTTGTGGGGATTTAATGAGATTAGCAAGGACCAAATAAGGTGCTCAGCAAGTATTAACCATCTGAGGAAAGCATGAATGAAAGAAATCTTAACAAAAATGTGTGTGGCAAAATGGATAAAGGCGTTCACGGGCTCCCCCACCCCCGCCTCCTCCCAGTACTCGCTGCCTTATCCTGTACCCACTGTTTCACTCTTTCTTTTTTTTCCCTTCCCTCCACTCAGGGTGCCCTAATTGAACCCCAGCCAGGCAGCCTCACAGACCACCCTCCTCCAACTCTGACTGTCTGCTCCTCAGGAGAGAAAGAAGAGGTTCACTATGCAATGCTCAGATTTCAAAAGAGGCAGCCTGGAAACCCGCAGAAACAGCAGGTCCCTGATAATAAGTACTCAGAAGTCAACATATCCAATTGAGAAGCTGCAGAGACTTGGCCCTGGCTTGATGATGGTGGCCCCCATCAGGGCAAAGAGGAGAAACAGGGGTGGGTTCCTGTAAAATGAGAAGATCGCTAGGTGATGAGTTCAAAGTATAGGGAAAGATCACAGGCTTTGGAACCAAAGAGTAGTGAGTTCAAATCCACACTCTGCCCCTTTACTAAGTGATAGGCCAATCCCTACCTCTCTGTGCCTCAGTTTCCTGCCCTATGAAACAAATTGAGAAGCCCTGCTTGCAAGTTTGTGGTGAGAATTGTGGGAGTGATATTGTATCTGAGCACCTGGCTCAATGCGTATGCTGGGCACATACTGAATCTCTGTGCTTTGAACAGAAAGTTCCTATTGGCAATTTCTCTTGATGCTGGAGGTGACCAGCATCAGACCTCAGTTCTTGCAGCTGAGGTCCCTCCTCCTGGAATGCCCCACCTGGCCTTCCTCTGCCTCTGTCTTTGAAAGTGGAATTCAAGGGGTAGACTTCTGGGTGGAGATGGGAGTCAAGCAGAAGCTCATGACTTCTTCCCATAAAGACAAACCAAATGAATGAGAAAGGTTCCCAAATGATCACAGGACCATCTGATGAATGAAACATGATCCCAAATTCACCTGCAGCTACCAGGTGAGGGAAGGAGTATGTCACAGCAGTCGCTTCCTAAAGTAGCCTTGATGGAAAGAAATACATGGACTGGACCTGGCATTAACATTCCCTAAATCTGTGCTGCAGCTCATTTATAACAGCACCAAAAGTCATCACGTGCCAAGGAACATTTTTTTAAAAAACCATGCAATACTTCTGTACTCAAAACTACAGAAAAACAACAAAAAAATGCAGAACATTGCTGAGAGAAATTAAAGAAGATCCAAATGAATGAAAAAATACACCATGTCCATGGACTGGAAGACACCATCAGTTGTCTCTATATTGACTTAAAGTAATTCCTGTGTGTGTGTGTGTGTGTGTGTGTGTGTGTGTGTGT